AATGTGTTAATTCAGTTTGCTAGTGTTTTGTTGAGAATTTTTACATCGGTGTTCCTGAGACATTGGCCCGTAATTGTTGTAATGTGTCTTTGTCTAGCTTGGGTATCAGGATAATACTGGCCGTGTAGAATGTGTTTGAAAGTATTCCCGCCTCTGTTTTTCAGAACAGTTTGAGTACGATTGGTAGTAGTTCCTCTTAAACGTTTGGTAAAATTCAGCAGTGAAGCCATTGGCTCTTGGGCTTTCTTTGCTGGGAAACATATTACTACAGCTTTTATCGAGTTACTTGTTACTGGTCTGCTCAAGTTTTTGTTATTTTAATTTTTTTGAGATGAAGTTTCACTCTTGTCACCCAGGCTGGGCTCAGTGCAACTCCACCTCCCGGGTTCAAGCGTTTCTCCTGCCTCAGCCTCCCGAGTAGCTGGGATTACAGGCGCATGCCATCACACCCAGCTAATTTTTTGTATTTTTAGTAGATACGGGGCTTTGCCATGTTGGGCAGGCTGGTCTTGAACTCCTGACCTCAGGTGATCCGCCCACCTCAGCCTCCCAATGTGTTGGGATTACAGGCGTGAGCCACCGCGCCTGGCCAGTTTTTATATATTTTTTAGAAGAGATGGGTTTTCACCATGTTGGCCAGGCTTGTCTCAAACGCCTGACCTCAAGTAATCTGCCCGCCTCGGCCTCCCAAAATGCTAGGATTATAGGGGTGAGCCACTGTGCCCAGCCCATGGTTTGATCTTGATAGGTTGTATGTGTCTAGGAATTGACCCATTTCTTCTGGGTTTTCCAGTTTGTTAGCATATTGTTGTGCAGAGTCGCCTCTAACGATCCTTTGAATTTCTGCAGTATCGGTGGTCATGCTTCCTTTTTCATCTCTGTTGGGTCTTTTTCTTGTGGTCTGGATAAAAGTTTGATTTTGTTTGTTTTCAAAAAAAAACAATGTTTCGTGTGATTGATTTTTGTATTGTTTCCTTCATTTCAATTTCATTTCTGCTCTGGTCTTTTTTTTTTTTTTTTTTTTTTTTTTTTTTGAGGCAGTCTCACTCCTGTTACCCAGCTGGAGTGCAGGCGTGCAGTCATGGCTCACCACAGCCTCGACTTCCTGGGCTCAGGTGATTCCCCCACCTCAGCCTCCCGAGTAGCTGGGACCACAGGTACTCGCCACCACACCAGGCTAGTTTTTATATCTTGGTAGAGACAGGGTCTTGCCATGTTGGCCAGGCTGGTCTCAAACTCCCGACCTCAAGTGATCCACCTGCCTTGGCCTCCCAAAACGCTAGGATTACAGGCGTGAGCCACGGAGCCCAGTCTGTACTTTGATTATGAAATGCGCTGTCACCCAGCAACAAGCTTGGGTGTTCTCTGACTTCCCTCGCACATGCTGAGTGGAGGCAGGCCCTTCTCCGCTGCTGTGATGGGCATTTTCTCCCTTCCCTCTGAAGACAGTTGTTTCTGCCTGGCTTTCAGGACACCAGGGGGGACAGCTCAGCTTCCTCACCGAAAATGCCTAGATTACTGTCTTCTTCCACAGACGGGGGACCCTGCAGGGGCAGTGACCAGGCTATGTCTGTCTTCGCCAGCACTGCAGGGCGTCAGGCATGGCTTGCTGAGTGTCCCTGTGAGGACCAGGGGACTCCCTCCCTGCCTAGGGCAAGTGCAGCGTGGCAGAGTGGGCTCAGCAGCCCCATCCAGCGGGGTCAGCATGCAGTCACGGGGCCCCTCGCCCTCAGGAGCAGCAGCAGCCCCAGGCTGGCACACCGGAGGTCAGGTGGAAGCCAGCACAGGCTCAGAAATAGCCCAGAACCCAGGTATAGATTTTGCAGAGAGGGCCCAGTGAAAAATGAAGGCAAGGTCCCCTTCTTAAAAACTACTAAGAATCTGGCCAGGCGCGGTGGCTTACGCGTTAGTCCCAGCACTTTGGGAGGCTAAGGTGGGCGGATCACGAGGTCAGGAGATCAAGACCATCCTGGCTAACATGGTGAAACCCTATCTCTACTAAAAACACAAAAATGTAGCCAGGCGTGGTGTCACACGCCTGTAGTCCCAGCTACTCAGGAAGCTGAGGTAGGAGAACCCTTGAACCCAGGGAGCAGAAGTTGCAGTGAGCAGAGATCGCGCCACTGCACCCCAGCCTGGGTGACTGAGAGAGACGTCTCAAAAAAAAAAAAATTACAAAAAATCTGAGTAAGACAAACAGCACAGCACGATTAAAACCAGGGCCCATTCCGATGGCACAGGTCACACACACATAAAGCCAGCCCGGCCTGCAGGTCAGAGATGCGTTCCAGGGAGACGTCAGCCTCTGCCTGAGGTCCCAGCCCTTCACTGCTGGAGCCAGACGGGGAGGACTCGTGGTGTCCAGGGGTCAGCATTCGCTCCACGGGGACACGCAACTCAAATGCACACGGGCACGAAAGAATGGCAGTTCTGTTTTAAAAAATTAAGTTTATAAATATTTCTCCACTGTACAAAGTTCTCCCAGCCCTGCCCACCCCCATCACTGTTCACATTTCTCATGTTTTTAAAATCCCAATTATATTTATTTTTTTTAAATCATAAAATATATTTTTTCTTTGTTCATATTTAAAACTATTTACAGGGGCACAGAGAAGCCGGGTGGCCCGGCTGAGGTCAGGATGAGTCCGTGCAGGGGGACGGAGGGGGCGGGAAGAGGTGGAAGTAGCTCCTCTCGGTGGCGGGCGAGGGCGGGCAGCTGTCCTCCGCCGACAGGTACTGGCTGTGGGGCGTGGGTGGGGGCGGGTAGGGGTCTGAGTCTGAGTTCAAATCCAGGTAGTACTTGCTGGCCTTCCAGCGGCTGGCACTGTAGTCGCTGTCACACACGTCGGTGCTGCAGGGCGTTGTCGGGGGCGCCATTCCTCGAATGATGTAAGGCCTGGAAGGGACACACGCAGAGGAGTGGGTGCAGGAGGCACATCGCCCCGGTGGGCACAGGGGCCCAGGGCTGTGAATGGGAAAGGCCTGTCCACTGCCCGCTCCAGAAGAGGCAGGCCTGACTCTGGACCCATCCTGCTGTGTGGCTTGGGCTCACCACTTACCCTCTCTGGGCCTCAACAGCCCTACCTCTACCATAGGCATGCCTGTACCTGCTCTGTAGCCTGCCAAGCCTGGGCCCTGGCAAGGCTGCCTCTGAGGAGAACAAGGCCTCCAGAGCCTGCTAGCTGACCTTGGCCCGGAGCCTGCTTCGCCTCTCGGAGCTTTAGCTTCTCACTGATAAAAGCGGGCACGGTGGCTCATGCCCGTAATCCCAGCACTTTGGGAGGCTGAGACATGAGGATCATGAGGTCAGGAGTTTGAGACCAGCCTGACCAACAAGGTGAAACCCCTACAAAAATAAGCCGGGTGTGGCGGTGCGTGCCTGTAATCCCAGCTATTCGGGAAGCTGAGGAGGGAGAATCGCTTGAACCAGGAGGCAGAGATTTCAGTGAGCTGAGATCCCGCCATTGCACTCTAGCCTGGGTAACAGAGCAAGACTCGGTCTCAAAAAGAAAAAAAAAAGAAAAGCAGGTGACAAAACAGTAAACAAGTAAACATTTCAAAAGAGGCTTGTGACAGATACATGAGATTCTGCCTGGAAAGTGCTAGAAACAGTGCCAGACAGAATAGGGGACTGGACAACTGTTCCCTGCAACGTTGCTACTGTAAAGGCTGGCAACTGGTGTGGTCTGGCTGTGTCCCCACCCAGATCTCATCTTGAATTGTACCCCCATAATTCCCATGTGTTGTGGGAAGGACCCAGTGCAAGCTACTTGAAACACGGGGGCGGTTTCTCCCGTACTGCTCTCGTGGGAGTGAGTAAGTCTCACGAGATCTGATGGTTTCATAAGGAGAAACCTCTTTAGCTTGGTTCTCATTCTCTCCCTTCCAAGGGGCCGTGTAAGATGTGACTTGCTCCTCCTTGCCTCCTACCATGATCGTGAGGCCTCCCGAGCCGTGTGGAACTGAGTCCATTAAACCCCTTTCCTTTATCATTACCCAGTCTCGGGTGTGTCTTTACTCACAGCGTGAGAACAGACTACCACGGCAGCCGAGGGGCCTGGAATGCTCCCTTCCCGAGATCAAGCAACCTGACTCGGGAGATGTCTTCTGTCCCCCTGGCGGCTGCCTGCACCCAGCCGGGGCCCAGAAACCCTGCCTGCAGCTATGTGAGCCCAGGATGGGAACCGCGGTGTGTTTGGGAGCCCCGGTCCTGTCACAGGGCTTGCAGAAGGTAACACTGGGTGTTGAGAAACGTGCAGCAGGATACTCCTCTGGGGGCCCAGCTGCTGCGAGGTCTGACGCGGAGGGAAGAGGTCTCCGCCGTGGGGCAGGACAGCATGAGCACAGGCAGGAGGTGGGCCGGGGCCTGGCCAGACCGGCCTGCCCAGTGTGGATGTGACAGTTCTGGAGACAGTGTTCTGTGAGGCTGCTGGGACAGACTGTGACAGTCTGACATACTACTGTGGCATCAGGGAGCCACTGCAGCTTCTTGAGCAGGGAGGTGGCGGGACCCACAGGGGGATGGAAATGGGGGCTAGAGTTCTGGCTCCCCAGCCAGGCCTGGGAGTTCATAGAAATGGCCACTAGGTGGCAGGCGGCACCACACTCAGGAGGCCCTGCTGCTCCAAGGCCCCAAGCAGTAAGGATGCATGGTCCAGAGGTGGCCTGCCCCAGGCCCACCCCATCCCACCCCATCACCCCTGGGGCTGGGGCCCAGTGCAGCTGGCGGGTGGGCCATGTTGGCTGGCACCAGTGGGTTAAAGGTCAGGAGGCTCACCCTGCCCCTCCCAGGCTCTCATTCAGCTCCTGCAGAGACCAGTGCACCTGGGTCCCACTGCACACACTCAGGTGCCCCCTCCTCACCCAGGGAGGTGGGGCCTGTGACCCCAGCATGGGCAGCTCAGGGACTGGTATCGGGCTGAGCAGCCTTTGAGACTCTTTGTCTCAAAGACAAATAAATAAAAATAAAATAATGAAATGGGTTTCCCGGGCTCAAACAGGCCACCGTGACAAGTGAGCAGCCTGGACCGTCCTGGTGATGTCACATGACTGGGGGTCCCAAACCACCGAGGGGGCATCTCGACGGCCAGAGTCACACAGCTGGACTCAAACACACAGTAAGACCCTGGAGCCCAAGCCCTCGGCCCCTGTGCCTCGGCCTCCCTGCAGTGGGACGTTGGGTGGGTGGGAATGCCCCTGTGGCATCGTTCAGGGCCCAGGGTGCCACAGGCATGTCCCAGCTCCCCACAGGTGCCTCCTGAAGAGCAGCTCAGAATGTGGGGTTCTGTGGGTTTCTGAACCCAACATGCAGGCCCTGCTGGGTCGGCTGGGGAGGCAGCCTACTGTGGTTGGCAGAGCAGAGGGAGGCGGGGCTGGGCCTGGCACCGGCCCATGAACCCGTCACCAGTGGCATGGGGACACGGCACCACCACAGGCTGGCAGGAACCCAAGGGCCATGGAAGGCTGTGGGGGGACGTCCTACCTGTACGGTCTCGCGGTGGCCGGAATGTTTGAAGAGTAGAACATGTCCATGTTGTACAGTGAGGGGTCCGTGGCCGGGGAGGGCGGTGGGTTCAGGATCTGAGGACAGCCAAGCCAGGGTGACCCCGGGCCCTCCCTCCTCCTTCCTCCTCCCCTTTCCCCCCTCCTTCCTTTCTTGCTTCCTTCCCTCCTTTTCTTCCTTCCCTCTGTTCTTCCTTCCTTCATTCTTCCTCTCTCCTTCCCTCCCTCCTTCCCTCCCTCTCTCCTTCCCTCCTTCCCTCCCTCTCTCCCTCTCTCCTTCCCTCCTTCCTCCCCTCCCTCTCTCCTTCCCTCCTCCCCTCCCCTCCCTCCCTCCTTCCCTCCTTCCTTCCCTCCCTCTCTCCCTCCTTCCCTCCTTCCTTTTCTTCTTCCTTCCCACACCCCTCGGGCTTTTCTTGCAGGGAGGACGTCTGGCACCCCGCTTCCTGGGACCCCTTTCTCTGGCCAGTTGGCGAATCTTGGGGACAGGAGGGGCAGCAGCAGCAGCCGCCACCTGCCCCGAAGGTCATCGTGATGAGAGGCAAAGGAAGCCCCGGCACTTTTGACCCCAGATGCCTGCCCCACTCCTGAGTGACTTGTGACCAGATGCTGAGTTGTGAAGGCAGAGATGGGACTTCAGCCAGCCCCCCCAGCAGTGGGAGATGTCCCCACGGGCCCTGAGAGTCCCTCACACCAGTGAGCACCTCACCAGGCTCCTCAGGGACCCTCCCAGGAACTGTCCTTCTGACCCTTCCTCCCGCCCCTCCTCCCTCCGTTGCGCACACTCCAGCTCCTGCAGTCACGCCCTTGTTCCGAACACTTGGGGGCTCTACGTCCCTGCTGAAGCCCTGACCCAGGCACAGAGGTCGTCATGCTGAGGGAGGGGCCACAGCCCCACTCCAGACACAGGCACGCCTTTCACAAGGGCCTGCACTGACACGAGCCCCAAAACCGGGAGAGTAGACAAATCCACCATGAGAACTCGCCCTCCGGGGCCAGGCAGCACACAACCAGCCCTACAAAGGGAAGAAGGGCCCCGACACCCACACAGGTCTGCACCTTCCAGCAAGTGCCGTTGACGGCACCCCAACCCAACGTGCAGCTTCCCAAAGGGCGCGGGGCTTAGGTGGATCTCCCGAGGCCATCCTGGAAAGCATTCGGCCAGGTCCGAGCTCCTAACGGAACTGTCAGTTACGCCCTGAGGGACTCCGTTCTCCCTGGTCCCCGGTGTGGTACGAGAGCACAGCCTTTCACACCAGACAAACCTGGGTGAAGTCCCGTTTTACCACCTTCGGCTGCAGCAGGATCCCTGGGGAGGGACTTCACCTGTCTCAGCCTCAGTTTCTTCATCTTTAAAACGGGCTCGACCCAGCACTTTGGGAGGCCAAGGTGGGCAGATCACTTGAGGTCAGGAGTTTGAGACCAGCCTGGCCAACATGGTGAAATCCCGTCTCTACTAAAAATACAAAAACTAGCCGGGCGTGGTGGCAGGCACCTGTAATCCGAGCTACATGGGAGGCTGAGGTGGGAGAATCCCTTGAACCTAGGAGCCGGAGGCTGCAGTGAGTTGAGATTCCACCACTGCACTCCAGCCTAGGCGAGAGATCAGGACTCTTTGTCTCAAAGACAAATAAATAAAAATAAAATAATGAAATACAGTGATGAAATGGGCTCGCGAAGGCCTGCTATCCTGATGGCTGGCAGGTAGCCTATGGGGAGTGCCCAGGCCCTTCCCCTACCCTTTAGAAAGGAGCACTGGGCCCTGTTCTTTCTGGGAAGGGTCCTCCTTGGCCCAGAGAGCCAGCCTAGGGATTCCTCAGGATTTAACCCCAACATCGGGAGGGCGCAAGCCTGGGGGCATTTTGGGGGGTGTTTCAAAGAAGAAACCAGATAGGGAGGCAGCAGAGAGGGCTTCCCGCAGCGGCCCATGCCCCAGCCTATGGGGTCTGTTCCCGCCTCTTCCCATGAACTTGACCAGACCTGGTTTCTCTCCTACATCCCAAGGCAAAGTGTGAGATTCTGTCCAAATCTGCACTGGGCAGACTTCTGGCAAGATCCACCCGAACAGCGCTGCGGCAGCGTCTCAGATGTCCAGTGACCCCGGCCATGTTCTCTTCAACGAGGACGGGATCTCGGGCCAGGTGGGGGGTGGGGAGGCTCCACCTCAGCCCATCTGCTATTCCTGCGTTTTTTTTTTTTTTTTTTTTTTTTTTTTTTTTTTTTTTCTGAGATAAAGAGTCTCTCTCTGTCGCCCAGGCTGGAGTGCAATGGCATGATCTCAGCTCACTACAACCTCTGGGATTACAGGCATGCGCCACCATGCCCGGCTAATTTTTGTGTTTTTAGTAGAGACGGGGTTTCATCATGTTGGCCAGGCTGGTCTCGAACTCCTGACCTCATGATCTACCCGCCTAGGCCTACCAAAGTGCTGGGATTACAGGCATGAGCCAGTGTGGCCTTCTGCTGAGAAAAGACGGACTGTCCCCTTCAGAGGGCCACTTGGCAAGAGCAGTTCAAATGGCCGAGGCTCCACCACAGCAGGAGAGGGGACCCTGATGGCCTCCAGAGGCACCCCAGCCACGCCTCACAAGGAGTGCTGTTCGGCCACCAAGAATGTGACAGCTCTGCCCTCGAAGCAGAACAAACTTCAGGCTGCGGGGGAAGTAGAGGAAAAGGTGGTCGTGAGCTGGCCAGCCTGGCCCCACCGCCTACCGACCCAACGACTCAGGCCAGCGGGTAACACTCAGTTCCTCGGCCTCCTTGCTGCAAAATGGGGGAAACAACAGCATCACCACCGGGAGACGAGTTCAAGCAGAGCTCTAGGCAGGGTGCACGGGGCAGCTGGGAGCCCCCGAAATACTCAGAAGGCCAGCCTTTTTTTTTTTTTTTTTTTTTTTGAGACGAGTCTTTCTCTGCTGCCAAGCTGGAGTGCAGTGGTGCAATCCTGGCTCACTGCAACCTTCGCCTCCCAGGTTCAAGCGAGTCTCCTGTCTCAGCCTCCCAAGTAGCTGGGACTACAGGCATGCGCCACCACGCCCGGCTAATTTTTGCCTTTTTTTTTTTTTTTTTTTTTTAAAGTAGAGAAAGGTTTCACCATGTTGGCCAGGATAGTCTCCATCTCCTGACCTCATGATCCGCCCACCTGGAGCCTCCCAAAGTGCTGGGATTACAGGCATGAGCCACTGCATCCAGCGTAACACCAGCCTTTGCCTTTATATATTGTTAGGAGCAAAAGCCAAGGCTCAGCGCTGACTATTCTGATGCTGTCTCGGGCTTACGAAAACATGTGTGTCAGCTGGGCACAGTGGCACACGCCTGTAATCCTAACACTCTGGGAGGCTGAGACAGGAGGATCACTTTAGCTTTAGAGTTCAAGACCAGCCTAGGCAATATAGTGAGACCTCGTCTCCACAAAAAAATTTAAAGAGCAGCCCGGCACGGTGGGGCACACCTGCAGTCCCAACGACCACGACCTGCGGGGCTGAGGCAGGAGAATCGCTGGAGCCCAGGAGTTTGAGGGTGCAGTGAGCTGTGATTGTGCCACTGCGCTCCCACTGGGTGAGGGAGGGGGACCATGTCTCAAAAACAAACAAAAAACACCTATGTCCATCTGAATCAGGTCAAAAGATCGTATCAGTGTCTTGCTTATGACAGGCACGGAAGTCATGCAAGATGGTAGCGCGGTGGTAAACTGGGCGGGGGATAAATGGGTCTGTGCTGTTTCTCACAGCTGCACGTAAATCTACAGTTATCTCTTTGCTGGGAAAACAAAGTCCACGCTCTTGTGTGCTTGCATATGCACAGATTACTCCTGGGGGGACGGAGGTCAGGCCTGCCGGGGCGTCCTGCTTGGGGTCATGGGGGCAGGGGTCCCTCTGGACTGCAGGTTCTTCTGTACCATTTGAATTTTGTGCCATGAACATATATTTAACAGATGCAAAATAACTTTGCTAATTTTTTTTTTTTTTTTTTTTGAGACATACGAGTCTCGCTCTGTCGCCAGGCTGGAGTGCAGTGGCACTATCTAGGCTCACTGTAACCTCCGTCTCCTGGGTTCAAGCAATTCTCCTGCCTCAGCCTCCCGAATAGCTGGGACTACAAGCGCCCGCCACCATGCCTGGCTAATTCCTGTGTTTTCAGCAGAGACGGGGTTTCACCATGTTGGCCAGGACACGATCTCTTGACCTCATGATCTGCCCACTCCAGCCTCCCAAAGTGCTGGGATTCCAGGCATAAGCCACCACGCCCAGCCTAACTTTGCCAATTTAAAAATAGCTGGCTTCATGCAGAGTTTCTTTTACGGGTAGGAAAATGTTCTAAAATTAACCGTGGTGAGGGTTGCACACATCTGTGAATATCCTAAAACCCACTGAATCATACACTTTTTGAAGTGGGCGAGTTGCATGGTTAAACAATCAAGTGATTTTAAAAAATAGCTGGCTGCTCAGTGCCATCTCTTATTGCCTGATAAGCTCCTCCCAGCTCCCAAGGGAGAAGAGGAAAGGCGAATCCCACTTCCTGAGCCTCCTGCTGTGTGCCCGGGGCCGTGCTTGGGTTTCTGGCGCTCCTGGCTGGTTAGGTGGTGTTGCAGCAGCAGGAGCAGGGACGAAGTTTAAACTCTCGGCTGCTGGCTCCCAGCTCCCTTTGTCCCCAAACACAGCCAGGCCCTGGAGCCTCCAGAAGACTTAGTTCCTGTCCAGGAATCCAAGGATAACCCTCTTCTGCTCCTTCCTTCCCAGGGCCCACCACAGTCAGGTGCAATAAGAAAACACCCCACAAAAGAAGTAAAAATGAAATAAACAAAAAAGACAACACCCCAGGCCAGGCTCACGCATGGAATCCTAACACCTTGGGAGGCTGAGGCCGAGGATTGCTGGAGGCCAGGAATTTGAGACCAACCTAGGCAACAGAGTGAAACTTTGTCTCTGCAAAAAATGTCAACATTAGCTGGGCATGGGGACGCATGCACGCAGTCCTAGCTACCTGGGGGCTGAGGTGGGAGGATCGCTTGAGCCTAGATCAAGACTGGAGTGCGCCACTGCACTCCAGCCAGAGTGACAGAGCGAGACCCTGTCCCCCCCAAAAAAAAGAAAGAAAGAAGAGAAGACCCCATATGTGAGGGACACTCAGAAGGGCAGGAGGAACCAGCCCCGGCGAGGTGGGGCGCCCTGGCAAGGCCCCAGAGGAAGTGGAGGGGGCTGGCTTTACCTTAGGGGCAAACAGCTGCAGGAGCTGGATTGTGGAAGAGATGAAAAGCATTCAAAGCGTGTCAACACACAGGGGTTCACATCCAGGCGCCAAGCTTGCCCTGGCACCCTGTCCTCCCCAGCCGGCCCCATGGATGCTGGAAGGCGCCGACAGTTTATCCTCTTCATACTCACTTCACTTGCAGGCTGTGGCTCAGTGAGAGCCAGCCCCTCAGCCTGCTGGAAGCTCCGGGAAGGATTTTAGCCACGAAAATCACCCTGTGTGTCTGCCCTGCACAAAACCATCCAGCCATTTTCCTGGCTGGGAGAACTGGGGGTTTGTGGTGGGCACGCCGAGGGGAAGCTCACAGAGGGCAGACGGGCCTGGTGCAGGCGGCCATCACTGGGCTGGCCGTGTGCAACAGGCGGCCACCTGGATGCTGATGTGGCCCCACAGCCATTCCAGGAGGTGGATTCGTGTGAGATTTCAGCTCTTTATATTTTTGTGTGGTTTTCAGAGTACCCACAGACAACAATGTCATTAAAGAAGAAAGCAGAATGTTTGTGGAGAGAGAAGAAAGCAAGCATGCCTCAGAGGCGGCGGGGGGGAGCGGGTGGGGAGGACAGCCCCCAAGAACCCGAGAAGCCTCTTCAGGCCGGCACTGACAGTGGGAGGGGCCCACAGCCACATCCCGCCCTACCCCTCCCCAGCCCCGCCACTCACCGGCGGGTAGAGCGTGGCCTTCGTGCTGGATGAGCTGCTGGACGAGGCCCCTGTGACGTGGTTCCGGTCGTAGAGGGGCACCCCGCCCCGGCCCCCCATCAGGCTCACAGAGCTCATCACGGACTTGCCACATGCGATGCCTGGCGGGGAAGGGACGGGGGGTCAGGTGGCTTCGAGGCTCGGCTGAGCCACCCCACAGACACAGGGCAGTCCCCTTGGCTCCCACTACCCATGAGACCCAGACCGGGTCGGCGTGTCCTGTCGAAGATGCACCCCCCTCCCTCTGCTGCCGGCCTCGCTGGCCACTGCCAGGGTGAGCTCTCCAGGACTCATCTGCGAAACGACGGACACACGATACCTCCCCCAAGGGGCCTGGAGCTGGGGCAGGGAATCCAGGAGGGGCAGCACAGAGCCTGCCAGGAACAGACAGGGCCCTGTTCTCTGAGGGCTGCTGTGACCATGAT